TGCGACGACTTTTTCAAGGTGGGTTTGCAGTATTTACAATTTCTTTTTATGTTCTATTTTTTTTTGGTAGGGTCTGCCATGCAGGCGCTGATAGCACACGGCTGTGCACCCCTATAAAGCGAAAGGCAGAGCTATAAAGTATTATCGCATGGCCTACAGTTAGATCATCAAGCGGGGGGTTAGACACTGGCGACAGCACCAGGCACAGGTACATAACATATAACACACAAAAACAACTCATCGTCACGGTTCGATGACAATGGAAAAAAAAAATAGTAAAATTAAAAAAAAAAAAAACGCATGAGCTCCGAATACAAAATGTGTAGAACTTGGCCACCATGACATTATTAGTACATGTATATAGTATATACATATAAATATATATATTCATGATGAGCAGCAATTGCCTGCTGTCTAACTAAAATGCAGGTTTCACTTCAAATTGTTCACATTGCCCTAAACAAGCTAATAATATTGCCTACTTAGATTTCTAGCTTGAGTCGAGACTATATGCCGGAGACGTACGTCTTTCTTCGAAATCGATGGATATGTAACAAAAGAAATTATTATTTTGAAAGAACAGTATTGCCTTATGATATCTTGCAGTTTCTAGAATATACAGTAAAATAATATCAGAATATACATATAATATATAACTTATTAATTATTAGTTAAAGTTGCCTTCAATAATAAATAATATTTGTTTTACAATATATTTTTCTGATATTATTTTATTGATTTATATACATACATCTGTTGATAATTTTTATTTATTTAAATATTTATTTTGAAAAGAAAATATTGCAGCTTTTAGAATTTAAAGTAAAATAATTTTAGAAGTATTTAAAATATAATAATTAATAAATAATTATTTTATGAGCTGGTTAAAGATGTCTTAAATAATAGATAATATTTTGTAGAATAAATAATATAATAATTAATTAATTAAATAATATACTTAATATATATTTTTGAGAATTTTTATTTATTTACAAGATTTAATCATTTATTATTTTTTTTTGGAGGTACGAAGTGTTAGAAAATAGTTTACTTCACAAGAAATTAACTCCATTAATTTACCTTCAATAAACAATTTATTGGCATTCATTCTTTATTGATAAAAATGTGCTTATTTCAAATCCATTTAGCAGTAAGAGAAAAAAGTGGATCTAGCCAGATATTGGCGTATTGGCGCTATTAATAGGAACTCAACAATTGCCAGTAGCACCACGTTAAGAGATAAATATGTTTTTTATTTCGCGAGTTTGGCGAATGCATTACAGCACAAGTATATAAATTTCTTTCTTGATCATCTATGGCCGCTGATGTTTAGCCGAATGGAAAGCTGAGCATTGGGCAGAGCCACAGAATCAAAAGTTTGTTGGCCGCTGCGGCAACAGCTGCAATTTGTTGCTGCAACTAATTGCATTTGGCCAACGGTCACCGGTAGCACAGATCGTCTAACGGTTACTTCCGTTAAACAGACATAGCCAAGCGATGAAAAATAGCGAATGATTCTCTAACCAAATCAAAGCATAGAGCACCCAACAACGATCAATGTAACAGTAGCGAAAACTTTCCACATGAATGCAGCTGCCAGCACGAGCTCAGGCTGAGGCTGAGGCTGAGGCTGCGTCTGCCACAGAGCTGAGCTGGCCAGGGCGGAAGTAGCGGTCATTGGAAGGTTCAATCGATGGCTAGGACGATGCTGAACGATCATCAGCGTAATGAACAATTAGTGCCTGAGGTGGCCGTCGCGTGGCTCCCAACAAGTGCCAACTTCCGATTGCAATTGCTAGATATGTAGTAGGTAGGTATGATATGATGATATGCGCATAAATCTATTGGAAGTCAGTTCCTCTGGGCCTTTAATAAGGGAGTTGTTAACGAGATTGCTCGACACGATGGCCGCTGCATTAGGAATTACAGCTGGGAGCAGTGGCTTATAGCGGAAGTGATGTGCTTGCCTCGAAAGGTTCACATGGTATCGGGTCAAGTCGAGGCGACATACAAGCGACAACTTGAAATTCTAGCGAAAATTCGGAAACGCAGGTCTTGAGCAATATCTGGCCCAGGTTGCGGTCGATGGGCCAAAGGGAGGGGGCGGCAATTCAGCTAACGAAACTGGAGTCAGAAGAAGAGCGCCCGAGCTAATGATCATTGCAATGGATCTGAGCGGCGGCCGAAGAAAGATAGAGACAGAGCGAGAATGAGAATGGGAGACAGAGACAGGTACAGAATGAGATGGGCTCAGCGTGATCGAGAGAGATCGGGAGTAAGCAAGACGGCTAGCTGTACACAGCGAAGCAAGTAATTACACCTGTGCTAATACGCTTCACTGAGCGCGCCATGCGCAAGGGAGATAAGCATAACAGCTGTTGGAGAGTAGCGTAGCCAGCACCGCAGCGAGGTTACAAAAACCCCGTGCCATGAGCGCAGACAGCCAAGTCGCAAATTGGAACGCAAGCGAACAACGTCGCGTTCTGCCTCAGTATCGTCAAACAGTGTGACCAGAGTTAAACTCTACAAGAGCCTCAGACAGAGAAAGAGAGAGAGAGAGGAGAGTTGGCTAGTGTCTCAGGGCAGTTGCTCAGTCTTACCTTGTATATAGTTTGAGTTGTTGTTGTTGCTGCTGTTGCTGTTGCTGTTGTTGCTGCTGCTATTGTTGGTGGCGCGTTTTTTGTGTACGTTGCTTTTGGTTACCTGTCGTGTTGGCCACGTTTGTGACGATCCGATCAGTGCACCGTCAGCGAGCGGCGCGCGCAGTTTGGGGCTTCAGCAAACAGTCGCACAGTCACAGTCACAGTCACCGTCAGCAACAAAAACAACAGCAGCTATTGCTGGGCGAGAGAGCGAGAGAGGGAGAGAGAGAGCAGTAGATAGCACAGCAAAGTGTTAGATAAACTGATAATACAATAGAAAATTGGAAAAAGTCACAGAAACGTGGCGTACAAAATTCACAAAAAAAACTGAACTGAACAAAAAAGGAAAAATAAAAAAAAAAAAAATAAAAAACAAAAACAATAATAAATAACTGCAAAGCAACAACAATTAAGAAAAAAACAAAATGCGCAACGTCAACGGCGAAACGGCGCAGTGTCAATAAAACTCTCGAATTCATTAACACGACACAAAACGTTCTATTAGTAAGCACTTGCAAATTTGACGAAATGAAATGGAGACGGCGACTCGAGCAAGCCGAGACAAGCTACAAATTAGCGTGGAGAGACCCTATCGAATCGGCAAAGAGGAGCAACACAACAATCGAACAGCGGTTGAAAGGTCTAAGCTATCAAATAGTGACGAGCCATGCAAACAGACACACAGACAGACATCATAAAAGTCAGACCCGGACGCAAAACACTGAATGTTCAAGCTTCGAGTCATAAAAAGCGCTGCGATCATATCCTTGGCCTCTGAAGTTCAGGTGAGTTTTAAAATAATACATTTATAATTCCTTAAAGCAGGTTATAAATATATGTATATATATATATGTATATACATATATATATATTTTTTATTTGTTGAAATATATACAAGTTTTCAAATAATTATACATAGCTCTGAATTTTAAGCGAAAGGCTAGATTTATAGCTATAAACTATGAACTCTATAGAGTTTTTTTTTTTGTATATTATATATGTATATATTAATATTTATATATATTTTGTCGTCACAAATATACACATAGAGACAGTTTCAAGCGTAGATTTTTATTTATTTATTTAAAGAGTTTGATTTGTTTAGAATTCAGGTCTCTGACTTTGTTTCAGCTTACAATTTGAAATTGAGTAACTCTCATATGATATATCTCAGCTTTTTATATTAATATCATTATTATAAGAGCTAGGCTTTGATTTTCAATCTATGTAGGATTAATTAGAGATTTTATGCAATTTAATAATAATTTAATATAAAACTGAGTTAGCAGCTGCATATTTTTACCTTTATATTTAAATAATATTCAAATTTGATAACTTATTATTATTTCACGAATTGAAACGCTCGAAAGAATAGTAAAAAAAATATTTTTATAACAAATATTAAAAAAATGTCTTAGCTATATTTAAGGTTCCAGCTAATGACTAGTACACAACCAGCAGCTGAAATTATTATGAAAAAAACCCTCACTTATTTTTATAGAAGGCTTACAATTATTAGTGGGTATCCGAAATAGGCGCATAGTTACAAGCCAAAAATCTGGCCAAATAACATAAAAATAGATGTCTTTCTTTCGCATAGACTTTGTGCTCAATCATTTCACATAATTTGTAGCATAAACATTTAGCGGCGCCTTAAACAAGTCAATAGACGATTAAAAAAATGATTTTTCAAAAAATGATTTTTGTAGCCCACACAAAAGGTAAACGGGCCGAAAAAAAAAATATATATATAAAATCTTAATAATAAATACAAGGAAAAAATGAAAAAATTACAGACAATGCTAAGGCAACAATCAAAGAGTTAAAGCAGGGGGAAAATGTATAATAAAAGGCAACTTTGGAGCCGTTCGACACATCGGCAAATTCTCGGCACTGAGCGGGTTTGTAGCTTTAATTGCGAGCCGAGACGGCAAGTGACATCATTTTAGGCAACTTTTTGGATTTGGCAAACAAGTTGTACTCGCAGAGTGTGTTGTTGTTGTTGTTGTTGTTGTCATTGCTGGCGTGTAGTCACAGGTTCTTTGGGCTTAATTGCTATGACTTTATTAGGTTATCAGTGCTGTGTGTATTTGTGCGGATTTTGATGTTCAATGTTGATGTGGAGTTATGTCTCATTAGCAACACGTGTGTGCTTGAAACTTGTACTTGGCTCAACAGAGGCGCGCACATACACCCAAGCACACACACACACACACACACACTGTTGCAATATCAATTACAGCATGCCTCCGGAGCAGTCACTGGAGTCAGTAACTGGTTTTGTGAAGTCAGTACAAGAATGAATAAAAATACCAAAAAAAAAACTCATTGCTGTTTGGGACACCTCCTGCACATTGCACACACACACACTGACACACACACAAACGCGCACACAGAAATACAGGCAAGAGCTCCTGCAGGTTTCAAGTTGCATTTGCCTTGACTCGAACGCTCCTAAAATGACCCAGAGCTATCGCCACAGTTGTTGCTGCTGCTGCTGCTGCTGTAGCAGCTACAGCTACGGCTTGCCACAACCATAAAGTTGCAGCAGGAAACTCGAACGGCAACAACAACAGCAACGGCAACAATTTGCAAACTCATGCCATGCAGCCTTAAAAGGCCGCCTCATCCGCTCCACTGCGGCACGGTTCGACCTGACTCTGGCAAATAAAAGTGCGTGATTTGTGTCTTGAGCCCAAGTGATGTGCCCACCACCGGCACCACCAGCACCACCAGAGAGCGACAGGCGAGAGACACGGAGAGCGTCTTCAGGTCTTAAGCCTCCGACAATCCATCAGGCAAACACATTGCTAACACTGTCTCTCTTAGGAGGGGTCAACAGACCTCTCCTACGAGCCCAAGAGCCCAAGAGACCGCACAGCCCAGCGCAGTCGCAGTCGCAGTCGCAGTCGCTCGCGAGCTCGTTGCCTCCGTTGGTGGCAGCAGCTGCGCATGTCTAATTGTAGTCAAAGTCACTACACTTAACCAGGCAACAAGTCGTGTGAATCTGCCACCAGTTCAGTTCAACTCAGCAGAGCTGTGATAATTGCCAGCGGGTCAAGCATCAAGCAGCAGCAGAAGCAGCAGCACCACCAGCCGCATCCCCTGAAAGTCTACGAGACATTTAAGCTTCATCTTCAACTCCAACTCCAGCTACAATTCCAACTCCAACTTGAAGTTCAACTCAAAGGCTTCTTTTATCGGGCACTTGCACACGTCAACAATTTCGAGAGCGCTTTGCTTCGTACACGATCGCTACTTAAGAATGTTAACTTGCCACCGACAATGAGCTGGCTTACAAGCAAGCCACCAAGGATAGCAAAAGAAGTTTGTAAATTAAATAAATTACAGATAATAATGAGCTACAAAATGGTTAAATGGGATCGCAAAAAATTTGCTTCTTTTTTTTTTTATAAAATTAAACTGTGGGTTTCTCTTCAGATAGGATAGCATAGAGGATATTACTTGAAAGGATTTAAACTGAATTGCATTGAATATTTTTGTATAGTATTCTTTCCTTGAACCGATTCTTCTTCTTGTTGAATATCATAAGCAGGATTATGATATTGATGTCTTTAGAATAGAAATGCTTCTTATATTACACATTTTAATATACATGTATTCAATTTTTCTATTATTTGGTCCAAGTTAAAGTTGGTTTCATTAAAATTGGCATATAACTTTTTGGTTTAGTTATGAGTCTTTATTGGCTCCGTTCAGCTTTTGGGAATCGTTGGCCAGTTTAGCGTCTTTTTTATACACTTTTTTATTGGGCTGAATGACAGCGAGTCAGGTATAGTTGGCCACCACCAAGTGGCTTGTTCGTTGGATTGTGTTTTGACATGTCGGGCACTTCTGGAAATGTAGCGCTTCCTGGAACGGCACCGGGCAGGGCAGAGCATGGCATATACAGTGCTCGCCTCTCTCTCTCTCTCTCATTCGTTTTATGTTTTATTTATTTAATTTTTTTTTTTATTTTTACCTATGTTTGTTTTTACATTTTTGTTTTTTTATGCTGACGGTAGCTGACCTTTTTAGGTTTTCGTATCTTGTTTGTGTTGTTGTCACTTTTTCCACAGAAGTTGTAAAATGCTGTTCAAAGCGCCGCCAACCCTTAGCGTTAATGATCGCCGTTGGCCACAAACTGCGTCGTTCTGGCCAATTTCTAATAGCCAAGAAGGGTTTTCTGGCTACTGGCTGCATTCTGGCAAACAACAAATGGCATCATTTAAAAACACATTTCGCCTGCTCATCATCATGCTGGCAGCCAGCTAACAGTTGCCAAGCTTGAAGTCGAAGTCTCCATTCGCTGTTGCTGTTGCAGTTTGTGGCTCAGTCACAGGTGCACAGCGGGCAGTAGTCACAACATAACGCTGCTCATATATCTTGGGCGGGCAGGAGGCGGCAGCGGCAGCGGCAGCGGCGGTCGCTTGCCGGCTGCTTCAATTGATGCTGACAGCGAATGAAAGGCGCTGCCTGGTAACTCCAGAGGTCGGGGCACAAAAGCCGCTGCCTAGTCACGCTGCTTCTTGCTCGTACTTCCTCTCCAGATGTGTAAACCAGTTTCAGGCCACATACACACGACGACGACGACGACGACGACGACGACGACTCCCCAGATCAATTCTAGCAGATTTCACTTTTTCCTGATCGCCAAGTCGACTCTCGGCTCGGCACTGTCAGTTTTTTGTTGTTGTATATATTTTGCTGTTGTTGTTGTTGTTGTTGCTGTGAGTTTTTAAGGTGCAGCTCGAACGGTTGCAACTGTTGCCTGTTGGGTGCTTGTCGTCGTTTTGTTTCTGCTACATTCACCAGCTTCCAGCTCTCTCAACGTCTGCATTGCAGTTTTTTCCTCCTTTTATCAGAATGAGTCGCACAAACATGTTGTTGTCGTTGCTGTTGCTGTTGCTGTTGCATGCCACAAATGTGCGATTGGCATGTCAAAATAATTATGTATTGATTTTTGATCTGAGCAACGCGAAAATTGTTGGCGACGATCTTTGAACCCACAAAACTAGAAACTTTGGCCAGTAAAAGCCTCGCCAATGAAATCAAACTGAATACGTACAGCATGCTCCAAGGATAAACGGAGAATAAACCAAAAAGAAGGAGAGAAAAGAGAAAACAAGTTCTCCAGTTGCCAGTGGGCGCCGCTTGGTCGCAAAATGAATGACACTAAACGCTCCTGACAGCGAACATTTGTCGGTGCCGATCGCAGCGGGGCAGTTAATTACTTTTGCACGAAATTATGTTAGTTAATTGATTAAGCGTCGAATATTTTGAGCACTTGCCCACTAAACGTAAACGGGCCATAGCCACCCGAGTGGGCAGTTCCTTTGCCTTGCCTTGCCTTGCCTTGCCTAGCCTTAAAGCCTAACGTAACACAAATTTATATGTTGCTGCTTGTTGTTACCTTCGGGATGTTGAACCTGGCTGCACCCACCCACGTGATTCAGGTAGAGCCAGCGATGGCCGACTCGCAGAAATTACGGCTGCGAGGCGGGATCTGTCTAAGTATGTACATGGGCGTAGTTTCTTTTTCTCTTTGGGGGAGAAACTGAAACTTCAAAAAAAGCCGAACTGTAGCTAGATTCAAAAGTTCAGACAATTTCCTCAATCAATGTATTGATTAGTTTTTCATTGCAGCTCTGCATTCAAGGCAATTGCAATATAAGCTTAGATACCGTTTGTTATATTTAGCAATATTTCATACATGGAATTTTCTTTATCAGCTAATTTTCCTATTATTGATTATAGCTTTCTCTTAAAAGTCTACATAACGGGCTAAAGCGTTTAGAGTTACTTTTCAGTTGAAATATAAATCCTTTGCTTTCTACACTCAGTTTGCAGAGTAATTTGAGACGTATAGGTGGAAAAGCTGCGCTTAGTCTAGACTCTGTCCAGTAATATCAGAGAAAGCAAAATTCAAACCATTCATAAAATTTTTGTAATTATTTAACAAAATAATATATTTGAGATTATGAACTTAAGAATAGAAAAATTCGAGATTAAAAACTCATAAATTTTTATCGATTTTTTTGGGAGAGTTCAAGCAGCTGTTGACAGCATTAGGCCAAGCAGGTTTTTGACGGTTTGTAAACGTTGAAGAGCTCAGAACTCAGAATTCAGTCAGTTGTGTTGAGATCTATTAAATATGAATGCTCAGCGGAAACAGACCCAGACTGACAATATAAATACCTTGACAATAAAACAGACATAAATATCAATTATAGGCTTTGGGGGAGAGAGATCATGTTGTCAGTTGCGCTAGTCAGGTGTGGAGGCAAAATATAGATAGACTCGGTTTTTGTTGCTTTAGTTATTAAGCAGGAGTTTCTCAAAATTAAACAGAGTCAAACAATAGAAGTCGAGTCGTTCTCATTGTTATTTAAAGCGCTGCCAACGCATTGTTTAAAGTAAATATTTCTCTCTTATTGTTGTCGTTGTTGTTGTTACTGAGCATCCACTGTCAGCTGCTTGACGCATACAGCGAAAATAATATAAAATACACGACTTTTTCATAGCAGTCACGTTTTTATAGTTCGATTCTGTTTTATACCCTGTACTCGTGCAGATGGTGTATAATGGTTCAAGCTGATGAAGAAAAAGCTTTGAGTACAACTAAAGTCAGTTTAAGATATCTTTGTGGAAGGGCATTAAATGAAAACTTTGTGCAATCCGAACTGTAAAAAACTTATTACAGGGTATATTGCAGTGTATACCATTTGCTTTTGTATTAGCTAAATGTATATAATTTATATACATACATCAAATATTGAAACGTGTCGTTCACTTTAACGCTTTGTGTAAGCAAACAAACCAAATAAAAAACTCTAAGAGCAGAAAAAAAAGTTAAAAATTCTTTTCAAATCAGATTAGAAATGAAAGGCAAATCAAGAGCAACAATAAGAAAATTATAACAAAAAAAAAAAAAAAAAAAAAAAAAAA